AAAACAAATATACGCGATTTAAATCCGGAAAAATAGTTTCATTCCTATGTATAACAATCGCGAAAACCTAAGAACTCGATTATAAATTACTTACTTAACAAAAGACCAAAGTTGTGATATTAACTTTTCATTAGGAGCGGCCTACGTCAATACAGGACGTACAAAAAATACGCATGAAAAAAATTACTAGCGAACTAATTTGTGCAAACTTGACTTTTTTACGATATTTAGACGTATTTAGATGACGTATTCTAGAATTTAAGATCATATTTATAAAACTATCTAATTATGTGTATGGTTGGAGTTGATTGGGTCGCAACACCAAAAAACATTCAAATCTAGTAAGTTTACCCATTTTCTTATTATTTCCCATAACCCCATCGATGTAAAACAGCAATAATATATTGTTCTTTTATCATTCATAGTGGCTTACTAAGTGTCGGAATATAAATAATACGACAAAATTGATATACAAATACGTTTTTAATTGAGGGATAAGAATAATCTTTACATCTTTGGTGACAGGATCACTAATAATAGTTAGAGATTCGCGGTGGTGAAAAGCTAAATATCATTTACTAATTTGATCATAATTTTCATAAAATTTCATTATTCAAATTTTTATTTTCAGTTCGAACCCCCAGCGAGAATATCATTAATGCTGTAGTCACGTGGTCTGCGAAAACAAATAGTTTTAACTATTCTGATTTTAAAATTACGAACTGAACTGAACTTCATATTACAAGGCACAATGAAAAACAATTATTTTAAATTTTATTAAATTTTAATACATATTACAGTAACATTATCTTCATAGTATATTTCAGCGTGTATTATAAAATTTTTACTGTAAAATTTGGATTAACCACCACATAATTAATTTATAATTAAATAATTAATTAATAAACTGCCTCTGTGGCCGAACGGTCACCTTGCCGGACTGCCACGCAGAGGTCCCGGGTTCGTTTCCGGGCCGGGAGACTATTTGTATGGCATGACGCATTTATTTCTCTCGTGAGTTTGGGTGTGATTTGTAGGTGTTTATTTGTATGTTCATGGCACTCGCAATACAGGGTTTCCCTACTAAATTGCATTAAAAAAAACATAACTTTCACAGAAGTAGGTAGCATACATAAGTAAGACACAGTTTAAACAGATTGCGAAGTGAGGACGATAGCTTGACATATCATTTCAAGTTTTAATGTGACTTGCTAGGTTTGCTGCATCGCAGATTTTGACGATGTGACTAAGTAGTTTATTATAAGATCGTTCGTTATCGCGTTGTAAAGGTGTACAAGTTATAATTGGACACTAGCATGTTGCGAAATTTTAAACACCCACTTTATATTGCTGACATAATAGATGAGTCCAAAAGTAATTTAATATCATTTTTTCAGGTGTGCTATGATCGTTACAGTAAAAAAATATATTATAATTTCAAAGTATATAAACACTCATGGGATATATTTCATTAATAAGTAGTATAACAATAAAAAGATTATTCAGAGATTCATCTCGTGTAACAAACCTTTTGTATTTAACATATATGCGCAATCATTAGATATAATTATTTGCTAAAATAATGTATTAATCGTATTGGTATAAGGTATTTTTTATGCTTGTAAGTGATGGGACGAACAACACGTGCGCCAGGTGGTATAAGCAATACGCCTCTAAAGCAGTTGCAGCCACTCAGAGTTTTAAATCGCAAAGATGTGAGGAGCAGTGCTACTGCGCCCGTCAGTCGCCCTGAGACATAAGTTGAAAAGTTGGCGGCAAAAATGGGTAAGGTGGCAGTATTTCCCTGGATGACATCTTTCACAAGCAGATCTATTCCTACCATGTATTACCAGTACAATGTGTTAAATAACATAATACATTATTTGGTTTCATAAATTGTTGAAGTGCCTAAGCTAATAAATTAGCAATAACAACTACTAGTGCGCATGAATTTTATACCAAAATACTGATTGCACATCGAAATGAAGTGTTGGCGCATCGCCGATCGCGCTGCCACGGCACGCTTGGTCGCTCACTCGGTGTAATCAATAGTTTAGGTATACAAACAATATCTTGCTATAATTTTCCTTTTTTAACTTGGATCTGGCGTTTCACCGAGCGGCACTATCGCGATATATGCTTTCGAACCCAACACTCCTATCTTGGTTCATCATCGCACCTGAATTAGACTTTGGGGTTATATTTCTAATGCATTATACTCAATTAATTTTTTATTTGAAACGTTTATATAAAATGCTTATGCATTTTAAGCATAAGCATATAATTGCGACTTTAATGACATTCGATGTTTAATAAAGCCCGAAGTGAGAATCTTTTAAAATGCTAAAAAAAGTAATAAATTATTATAAAAACACAAAAAATTGTACTTTTGCGATTCAGAATAAATATAGAGATGTATACGAACATAGTTAAAACATTTCAAACCTTAAATCATGCGAAAAATTGGATTTGAATTTAGGTGGGCCTTAATTGCCCAGAGTACCTTACAAATGTTGATCCACTTTTCAGCGAATTCCATATACATGCATACACCATTCACTTGAGACTTCAGTTTATATGTCACTACCAAAAGTGGCAGATCAAAAAGTTGAATGCTAAAGGTGTTCAGGTAAATTATTAATAATCAAATATAAACTCGGCTTACTTATACCCGTAAATCCCATTACCAGAATGGGAACGGCAAGATTTAACAACGTCATCTCTAACGAGTGTATCGGGATTCTTTTCACAAATGTAATATAATAAGCTGTTGCACCACATGTCATCCAACCTAGCCGATGCGAACAGTCCACCACATGGCTGATTGTTGCCATAATTATCTGGCTGACCTGGCTCGAATGCTGTGTAGCCTGCTTCTTTGAGCGTTTGTCCTGTGAAAAGTAATAATGATTAACCAGTCCAGTGTACCCGGCGCAAACAAAATTGTTATGTCTACTCGCAGCGGTCTACTTGTTATGAGTGAAATTATGAAAGATAACCGCCAAACAAATAGGACATGAACTTCTGAACAACGGTCAATATAAATTAATAAGAACTAGGAATGCATAATTTAGAGAAATTACATTAATTCCAACAAATGGTGAAAATCGAGTAACGGTAAAAAAGATAGAAATAAATTTTACTGTATTGAATGGCGTCAATCTTCTGTAATAGTATTTGTACAGGGTTAACATTATCGGAAACCAAAGCATTTTTTTGGATCTAAATCTTGTATAGTTGTTTTTAATCATAATAATAATTATAATTCATTTATTTGTAAAAAAAACACAGGTTATATAGAAGCTGATAATGTACAAAATATGTATAATTTCACTGTGTCCGGCCAAACATTAGGCATACAAATATTGAAGGTATATTTATACATCACTCACATGCACTTCAATAGACTAAACCAGGTAACATGTTTCTTTTTCAATAACATTACATAGGCGTGCACACACGGATTTAATAAGTCAGAATTTAAACGCGATGTTAAAGGTGATAGACTTTCAAAAGTAACCAAAGTTTTGTGTACACTGGGTAGGTACATGTTTATCTTGGGTTGTTAGATCCGAAATAATAGTTTCATTTGCAAAGTGTAGTAATCGCGAAAGCCTTGAGGTGTGTACAAATCTGGCCAATGCGCCTGCCTGCAAAAGCCTCGCGAGCTGCACACGCACATTATATAGTGCGATTCATTACTAAGGCGCACTTTGCACGCGTGCAGCGCGCTCGCCAGGTCTCTACACACCTTAAGAACTTAAAATGTACACAAGTATGAATATGTTCACTCTTAGGTATACCAGAAAAGCATAAATAAAAAAGCACGGTTTTTCTTACCGTGTATTGTCAAAAAATCTCCACGTTCCTCAAAATCGTGATAACCGGCAAATACGATAGTTCCTTTCAAATTCGAAAATTTATATTTTTGGAACAGTTCCTTGACCACCTCGGCTTCAGTTTCATTGTTTATGATAATTAAATGGGCGCCTTCGGCTTCACAAGCCATATAGGCTCGCGTCCAGTTTCGTTTATCTGTATGAACCTTATAGCAACTGCCTGTTCTAGAAACGTAGTCTAAATATTCTGTAATGTAAATCAAAATATGATATGAATATTTCTAATATGCATAAAACAGTTGTCGTAAATAGTAAATTAATGTATCCTAAAACGTATAAATGACCGCTGTACCACAGAAAAAATTAGAATAAAGATGTGACTCTCAGTATTAATTGCAGGACGCTAAAGAACACACATATTGAACAATGTTTGTGGTAAAATTATTCGTCGCTTTGACAACCAACGACGACGTATTCAAAAGAAGACCTAGAGGAAAAGCAGAAACAAAAAGTGGTAAAGATAAAAATCGTATACTAGTTGACTGTAAAGGGAATAATAATACATACGATCATCTGTAGTTCCACAATTGTAGTCCATGCTTTTAACAGTGCTAGTCTTCTTATAGCACATGTAAGGGTATGTGTCTTTGCAGTTTACATCGGCGAAACTGCCACTCGCTTGCATAATAATGCAGTTTTCCGAATCGTTCTGGTTGTTGGGTTCCGTGTTTTGCCATTTGTGAGGAATTTTACTAAGAGGTACACCTGACGTTAAAGAAAGTACATACTCGAATTTAATATGTAATTTTAAAATCCATTGCATATAAATGAATAAATAACATAATTATTAATTCATATGAATTAATAATTCCATATTTTGATCTTCGTCTTGTCCTATCGATGAAATGTACTTTATTATTGTGGCTCAGAAGATATTGCCACTACTCGCGTCACTAGTAGTAGCCGTCAAGCTGAAGTGTGGGATATGTTTGCCATTGTGATGAAAGGATTTGCCAATCGGCGTAACGATCTCGGCGATTGTTGCCCAGGAAGCGCCTGACGTACAGAGGACATGAGTCATTGCTCTCCTTCTTTTGTGCTCCCTAATATATTTTATTTTGATAATTATATTATATTAACATACTTTGATCAGATCGTTTTTCTTCTGCAGTCGGTATCGTAACAATTGACTCAAAGGGAGGGTGGGAGTTGAAGCACAAATGAAAATCTTGAGATTGAAGCTCTAGGGTCTGGGCCCAATATTGTGGGAGAAACTAATGCTGCGAGACTCCGCTGGCTCGTGGAGAGAATGGGGGAAGATCGTGTCACGAAAAGGCTTTATTTGGGACAACTGAAAGGACGCCAACCGGTCGGACGTCCCAGCTACCATTTGAGCGATGAAGTCCAGAAGATCTCAAGGACCTCAGGACCAAGGAGCAGGCTCAGAACCGGGAGGCGTGGCAGAATTTGGTGTCGGAAGCCAAGACCCACTTTGGGTCACTGCGCCACCGAAGTAAGTAAATAACATATTTTGATAGTATATAATTATGATTCTAATCTACCTAGTGCTGGTAACACATTCCCGCAGTTTGCGAGGACAATTGAATGGCTACATAAGCCAATTCCGAGCCCATGAACGCGGCAGAATTTGAAAGCCGGCAGAAGGATTGACAGAAAGCTTTAGTATTAGACATGAGCGCCGATAATAGACCAACCGGCGGCGGCGCGCCGACAAAAAAGTGTCCGCGGCGGCGGCGGCGGTTTGGCGGCGCGAAAATGAATTTTTATATCGGTGTTTGTTTTTACAAAAACCGTTATACAAATACTTTTTCAAAAGAAAAAATGAAATAACGTATTTGCTACAGTAATCAAATTTTTGTCAGTTCGATCAGGCGCTCCGATCGTATGCACGCGCACGCTTCCATATTGTGTATGCGTAGTGAAAATGGCGACGCCAGTTATTGAGAAATTAATTTTTTAAACAAAACATCTTTAAATATAAAGTCACTAACAAACTTTTGTCCCTATCTATGTCACCTCTGCCGAGGCCGGACTATACGCTGGCCTATACTGCAGAAAACAAGGCAAATCTTTTTGCCTCACTCTTTGCAAAGAGTTCGCGTCTGGATCTAATCTTACCTCAGGCTGGCTACACTATGACGCCAATTCGCATACGCCAAAAAGAGGTACTGAGAACTCTGCGGAATCTAGACGTGAATAAAGCTAGCGAGCCAGATGGAATTCCAGCACTAGTCCTACCTAACTGTGCGCCTAAGTTGTCTCCTGTTCTCACACGCCTACACCTGTACCGCCTCTCAGTTGCGACTGGTGTAGTTCCCAGGTCGTGGAAGCTTGTAAACGTGCAGCCTGTGCCGAAAAGGGGAAGCAGAGCTGACTCTGGACAACAACCGTCTCTTGTCGAACCTTGAAGACAACGACCTCCTCAGTCCTCGCCAGTATTGTACCAGTACCAGTGTACCAGTACTGCAGACTTGTTCCCTGAACGTTATAACTTGGGCCTTTTCATAGCGAAAGTGAATAGGCATTCATCCATCGTCGACCTCATCGTCACTTTCCATCAGGTGAGATGGAGGTCTAATGCGAACTTACATTTTATAAAAAAAATAATTTTTATTTTAGAAAAGTAATTTTCTGGCGTCGCCATTTTCACATACACAATACGAAAGCGTGCGCGTGCATACGATCGGAGCGCCTGATCGAACTGAACGGCGCGCCGATTGCAATTGTCGGCGGCGCTGAAGCGAGGAAAAACGCGGCTTATTTATACCGCGGTGTAACGCGGTATAAAAAAATATAACACAACATGACACACGTTGCTGTGATCCCAAAGAAAGTAGCTAAATCACTTGCGTTATGGAAATCAGAAACAACGATGGTACCACCCAGAGCACCCAGACCCGAGACAATTAAGAAAAGTTAGTTTTCTACACTGGCCCGGCCGGGAATCGAACGTGGAATCTCTGAGCTGGCGACACCATGAACCGGTGTGCAAGCCACTCTACCACGGAGTATAGGTACACTCTTTTGGACCCTGAACCGAAGATGGCTTATGTTAAAGATTAATACAAGCGATTAGTATTATACCATGACTAAAATTTTGGATTTTCGTAATACGCGACTATAGGTTGATTATATAGTCTAATGACTATATAATTAAAAAACTGTCAAGAAGGTGAATTAGGATCGTGGATACCATAAAGGTAAACCGTAAAGTGAAAATGTTATTATGGATGAAAATAGTAAAATAAACACGATAGCCTAACAAATGCCGATCTTCTGTGTCTTGCCGCCCATATGTCACGGCTGTTGTTAATCATACATCATTCCAATATTGAAGAACACGCTACGGCAATGGTTTTATATTTTCGTAACGTTAATAACATAAGGCAATAAAACTTCCCCAGAGTTAAACAAAAAAAAACGCGAATAAGGAAATTTGTATATGTATATAAACGAACCCATGTTACCTTTATGGGAAATACACAGAAAAAACATACTAATGTAAAATTATACTAACAAGTGTAGAAACACCGAAAATTAAACCGACGTTATTTTACACAAAGCTACTGCTTTCAAATTTCGAGTTACTATCGAAAACTTACGCTGTACCATCTAAAGTATAACGAATTATCTAGAAAATGCTGATCTAGCTCGCTTTAATATTTTGGAGAAATATTTTTATGTGTATTTATTCTTTGTGTGCCAATAATTTAATAAGCATTTTTTCCACTATTGTGAAAACTTTGACAGTCCATCACATTTCCAATCGAAAATTTAATCACATCATTAACTTATGAATCATCTTACCTTCTACTGAACGGTAATCGCCTTTGGAGAACGTTGAATGGATACCAGTGAATATACCAAAATGGTTTGCTTCACATTGTTTGATCGTGTTTGTCATTGCGGATGCCATTTTGTCATTTACAGGAGAAGCTAGCGTGGCACCTGTGAAAATTGTTACATGAAATGATTTTTTTTATATTAATCTCTCTTCCAACTTAATATGGATTGTTTAGTATTTTTTTAAGAATTAAGGTATAATAGTAGCAGTAAGTTTTTGTGAAAGAGTTCGTCCAGGGAAGTACTGCCACCTTACCTAATTCTGGCACAAAGCGATAATGTGAGCTTTATTATAATAAATTAATGTGAATATTAGACACTTCGTTTCGATTTTGAAAGGTAAGGGTGCTGGTGAAATTATCTATGTATATATATATATACTATCTATGTGCAAAAGTCAACAGGAATTCTGTAAACTGGAAGCTTGGTTAACAGGCTATCATGCCAAACCCTATCAAAGGCCTATATGTCGAGAGATCGGTGATTACGATAGGTCTCACCATAGAGAGGCGATACAGGCGAGTCAAGACCGGAGACAACTCGAATGCACAGTTACATGATATAAATATGATTACTTACCTTCCAAATAACATTTTAGTCTAGCATCGTGCCAATTAGCTGGCACTTCATGATATTTCAAAAAACCCTCAACTTCCTTATTGTACAAGTAGTCATTTCTGAAAACTAGTCCTTCGCCTAGTACTGGAATAAAAAGTGCGGATTCTATTACAGATAGAACTTGTTTAAAAAACTAACTTTTCGAAATTATTTCTGGCCCCGGCACAGAAGTGTGCAGAACACTGCACACTTCTGTGCCAGTGCACAAGTCAGGAACACCTGACTTGTATCATAAATAAAGGAAAATCCGTAACTCTGGTAACATATTATTATACGTAAATATTTTATAAATAAATATTTTTATTATACTTTATATTTATGCTGGTGAAATTACAGACATATGAGATTTGTCAACTTATTTCTCAAGGCGAAGGGGGGAAGGGGCAATGCCCATCAGATCTTTGCCATTTAAAGCTCTGAGTGGCACTGCACCTGTTATGGTCAGGCGTGTAGCTTACCATCAGGCGGACGACTTGTTCGTCCCATCACTAGAAATTATGTTAAACATATACATTTTATTATTTTCACAACTTTTTTACTTTTCGTTTATTATTTATTTACAATGGCAAGCTAATATAATACAATACATAAACAGAGTATAGCTAAATAAGGCTAAATAAGCTAAATAAGGTACAATCCAAATATAAAAGCATTATACATATTCCATGACTATGCAGTCACCTGTATATTCGACAGTTTAATATCCCATTGATATACTGTCAAAGTGACACACTCACAAAAATGCACAGGAAATGTGTTCCAGTATATAAAAGAAAAACAAAATAAAATCTTACCGCTAGGCGAGTAAATGAAGAATAGTTGTAAAACAAACAACGACTTCATTCTCCTTTCCATGTTCGAGTGATACTAAAACAGGTGTCTACAGAAAAATGTTTTATAAATACTACCTATAAGGAAAACTGAGTTTCAAATAAAAAAGGTTCGTGTAATGAAATCACTTCACGAATAAAGGAGTAATATGTTTTGAAGACAAAGTTATCAAAGTACAGCTACTGATCGTAAAATCGTCGGCAGGGGCGTCCGAGGTTTTTTTGTGATTGGCGTGAAATCGGCGAATTTTTCAGGTCTTTAAAAAAAATTCAAACATTGTGTATCTCACCCTTTATATACATTTTCAACGTTATACACTGTAACTTGTACTTTAGCAGGTATGTAGGTACTGCAACTAAAAATTAATCTGCTCAAAAATGGTTGAAAAAAAATCAACTACTTAAAAATAAACGCTTATAATTTAAAAGACAGGAAGGTAATTCATTTTAACTGTACGGAAATATATTATATTGACTTACAACAAATCATTAACAAAGAAGCTTCATTAAAATAAAATAAATTTTCGCCACGCTGACTTTACGCCGTTTTTACGCCTATTTACGCCGATCAACGGCAGTATGGATAACATACATACAAAAAAAAGAACATACAGTCGAATTGAGAACCTAATCCTTTTTTGAAGTCGGTTAAAAACATGTCAACGGCGGCGGGGACGCTCACATGTCCGAAGTAAACATAACGTATGGATCTAATAGTAACTTACTAAGTAACTAATTTACAAATACGTTTTTAACTAGAAGATAATTAATATAATATAATTTTAGCGCCTTTGGTGTGAGGATTAATAAACCTCAGTAAGATTGTGGGCAAAAATTTAACTTTTCATTCATTGATTTTAGGAGGCAAGCGCTTCTAATTAATTGATGACTGTGGTGTTATTAGCAGACGGAAATACTTAAGAACTTGAAACAATAATAATGTACATTGAGTTTTTTTTTCACTGGGCCAGGGAAATAAAAAATCATATAAGATACAAGACTTTTTTGGAATAATTACGTCTTTTTTTGTGATGACTGTGCAAAAACTTTGAGGGCCATAAAAGCGTATCATATTTCAGTTTTATGTAGCACGTCATATAGACATGAAATTTATGGAACATTTTATTATACGGCAAAAAGAGTTTAAATGATGTGTACACGGTTAAGTATTTCGACTATGATTTAGGACATTGCGATCTCCAATGTATAAAAAAAACATTCTATTAACTATTAATACAAAGATCGAACACATAGAAAAAATTCCTTCGATCCGGCCGGATTCCAACCGACGTCTCCTAGCAAACCGTGCCAGACGCTATGCCAACTAAGTCACGAAACGAAACAGCGGAAGTCACGCATTTTTCTGTGCTTGTGGTCGGATCTTTGTATTTGGTTTTCAACGACTGTTTGGCCGTAGCGCCATCTATGAGAAATCGATGAAAGTGTTTCGTCACCCAATTAGATACCTTTACAGCTACCAGCCCTGGCTAAAGATGTCGCTAATAAATGTTAATTAAATTTTCTAAGGAGCATAGCACTATTGAGCCCGTCATACTTAAACATAAGTTGACAAGTCCCAATTGCACTTTAATTTCACCAGCACCTTACTCTTCTAAACCAGAATGCAATAGTGGTCATATTATTGTAATATTTTACTGCTGCTGAAATATTACAAACATGGACAAGAATTTTTGTTCTATCGTACATATTATTTTTGTCAGTTCAATGCGACTAAAATGCAAATAGGTTACATCAAAATTCATAGCGGGATCGCCTATGTTGGACAAGCATATCTGCGTGATCACCTAATATTGATCTTTCGCCTGATTATACGGTTCCTGTGAAATAGAAATCTGCCACAGGAAACCCTCCAGTTGATTTTTGTCTTTCTTTTTTCATATTTGTTTTTGTCTCCATGTTTTCTCTAACATGCACTCGCTGGTTATAAATGCGACCAACAATTTAAATATATTTTTTTAAACTATCTTCGAGCAGTTGTCAGACGATAAATAAAACATTACGATAAAAATGTGACGTAATTGTATAAAATCATTTTTACATAATAACCTCATTACGATCATTGGCAAAAAATGTATACTGTTCATTGATTGATTTTAGGAGGTAAATCCATTCTAACTTAATTTATGACTGTGGTGTTATTAGCAATCGGGAAAACCTAAGAACTCGAAAGAATAATTGTAAAAGTACATTGAGTGTTTTTTTCAATAAGACAGTATGTGGAGATCCGAAACTATATCAGATACAGAGAAATTGTCATACGAAGCATTACGTCGTTTTTGTGAAGACTGTGCACTAATTTTTGAGAATCATAAAAGTGTAGTTTAGATAGACTATGTTTATAGTCTAACTGCAATATGTGGTGCATATTGCTTGGTTGGCAATTAAATTGTATATTTTGTCACATATATTCTGGACACCGAACAATAAACATAAATCTCTATAAATTAACGTATTTTACTCTATCATCTACTTCCATTCTTTTTAACAATATGATATGAGATGGCGACCCTCTCAGGATAATAATAGGAAATAATGAGAAATTTAACTTGTTAATTGATAGTGAAGCCAGTTTATGCGTAGTAAAATATCAATGCCTTACTTTCTCAAATTCGTATCTTATAAAGAGTGATTATACAGGAGATGACAAAACTTTCTATTTATTTTAAATTTCTTATCAAGAGTGTTATTTTGGATGCATTACTTTAAGAATAGGTAAAAGCCAGTGTGTGAATATGAAGAAACTGTAATGTGAAATCAGCATGGAAAATTTGTATATACAATCCATTTTTTGCATTTCAGTAACTTTGTGCTTTAAGATACGAGTTTGAGAAAGTAAGGCAACGATATGAAAGACTAGCACATGATATGATTAGGAAAGATAGTATTTTAATTAAGGGGATAAGTGGTAATTTAGAATCAGAAGGTTATATTTACTTAGATACAAAGCTTGAAGGGGTGATTTTGAAACAAAAGTTGTGCGTTTTCAAGACCTTAGCTAGCGCCGCAGACGGGATACTCGGCCAAGATTTTTTCTAAAAGTAAAACGCAGTGTTGAGTTACAAAAATGGTACCTTGTGTTTGGAAAACCACGACCACTACGTAACTGTTCAGTTTAATAAAAATCAAATAATAATTCCTCCACGATGTAAATTAATTCGACACGTACCTACGGCACACATCAGCGAATGCGTTGTCTTAGCAAAACACGTATATAAAGGTGTGTACACCAAAATATGGACTTATTCCAATTCGCTTGCTCAATACGACTAACAAACCAGTGAGAGTTACAGACTTAGATATTCACAGTTCAAACTAATATATACCAATTTGATGATGAGAAGATAATGCCAGATAAAATCAGAAAACTTTTTCATTTACTACATACACTAGCTTTCTTATTTAAACGAAGAGGAGCAGATAAGTATAGGAAACGTGTGCGCTAAATACGCCGACGTTTTTCTTTTACCAGGCGATACATTGTCTACTACAAACTTATAGGAACATTTTAATTTTTATTGAATTGATATTCAATTATTCTTATGTGAAATTACTCCACCCGTTTGTTATAATTAGTAATACAAAGATCGAATACCCAGAAAAAAATTCTCTGATCCGGTCGGATTCGAACCGACGTCTTCTAGCATACCGTGCCAGACGCTATACCAACTAAGCCACGAAACGAATGTATATTTTTCCAAATTAGATTTATCTCAAGTTTATTATCAGTTGTCCTTCGAAAAACGGTCTAGGAAATATACAGTTTTTACAACCGATGAACAGTACCAAACGAAGAGATACCCGACGGGATTAAAAATATCTCCTAATTCTTTTACTGGACAGATGACTATAACTATGACGGGTTTGAACTATCTGACATGTCTAATTTATTTAGATGACTGTATTGTAGTAGGTGACAGTCTTGAAACCTATAACAAAAATTTCATTAAAGTACTGGAAAGATTTATACAAGTCAACTTGAAATTAAACCCATTAAATTGTGAATTTTTGCGAAAAGAAATTATTTATTTAAGCCACAAAATAACTTCAAATGAAATTTTTCCCGACAAATCGAAAATAGATGTTTTACACAAATATCCTGTCCCCACATGCGTAGATGATATTAAACGATTTGTAGCGTTTGCTAACCATTACAGAAGATTCATAATTAATTTCGCAGAAATAGCACATCCACTTAATGCATTATATAAGAAAAATGTCTCTTTTAATTGGACAAGTGAATGTGATAAGGCTTTCCAAAAACTTAAAGAAATCCTACTTAGTCCTACCATCATAAATTATCCAGACTTCTCAGAAAGTAATACGTTTGTTTTATAAACAGACGCATCAAAGCTAGGTTTAGGCGCCGTTTTGTCTAATAGTAATGGCAAGGTAGTCGCGTACGCAAGCCGTAATCTAAGACCAGAAACACAGTACTAGTTATCGAATTCGAACTACTGGCTATTGTGTGTCCTGTGCGTCATTTTAGGTCCTATTTCTATAGTAAGAAGTTTCAAATAAAAACAGACCACAGGCCTTTGATTTATTTATTTAATATGACCGATCCATCAAGTCGTTAACAAAGCTTAAACTCTATTTAGAAGAGTATGATTTTGATATCAGTTACGTTCCGGGACGGCCAAACGCAGCTGCAGATGCATTGAGCCGTATACCGATGAACTCTAAGGAATCGATAGATATTCATGAGCATGTTGTATCGGCCATGACAAGAGCACAAGCTAGAAAACTTAATAATGACAATATTACTGACTCGACACGAGACAGTCCCACCGCTTCTAGGCCTGATCAACCTAAAGTGGAAATTCTCAAACGACCAACTGACAGCGTAGAACTAATATTAAGCGCAAATGACACAGCAATGAAATAGATAGACAATTTACAGAACTTGTACGGTAAAAATGGTTTTTTTGTTTTTGTGCCCGATGAATCGCCTATAAATTAATGTCTCGATCGTTATCTACCGTAAGTGTGTTAGCGAGAGAATTACAAAATTTTTGTAACGAAATAAAAT